GTCGGAGTTGATTCATGGATTGACTATCAGCCGTGGGACATGTGCCGATGCTGCGTAGCGTGAATCACTCGACATGTCCTTCGCTGTGGTGGAAACCAACTTCATCCCCTCCTCCTTTACCTCAGGGGAGTTGCTTGCAAACGCTTACGCTAATCACAAAGTGCGCGCAGGCCCTCCTTTGTTGGTCGCGAGAATGTCCAAAGCAGATGGGATTTATTGGTCAGGTTCTTTGCAAACTGCTTCTTTTGCAACTTGGGCGACACAAACGAAGCACCTCAACAAACATGTTCGCGTCCTCACTCCAAGCGATTGTGGTACATGGCAGGCTCCCAAGACTCCACCGCCACCGTGAAGGCACACACACCGCAACACCGCGCAAAGGCCTCTTCTAGCCACCCCCATACCACGGCCACAGTCTTGCCGGATTTGTAGCGGCCACTCACCATGGTCGCGTCGGACTGCTGCCGCCAGCTGCTCAGCCTATGTCGGATGTCATCTACGACCTTTCGTGAAACGACCTCGTCCGGAGACTTGGCTGGCTCATAGGGTGCCATGAACTTCTTTATGGCCAGACGCTTCATGCGAAAGTCTGAGGAGGCATACGTGAATGCAAGGCCTGCAGCAGACCACAAGAAACTCCATGCGTTGCTCGCTGCCACATTCTTGACACCCACTATGAGAGCGGGAATTGGCATTGGGCCGGATGGCCATGCCCTGACATGGGTCGGCGGCGTGCTGGGCCGTCTTCTGCAACTCACCGGTTTTGCCTTGCTCGACGCAAAAGCACTTTAGCAAGAGTAATTTCAAAGAAGTACGATGCAGTCAAAGCGGCCCAGCTGCGTCCGATGAAATGGCCTCCTCCACCGCGATTCGCTCTGCCACTGAGGGCGGATGCCTTCTGCGGAAAGGGCGAGTACAACCAAGCACACACACAAAGCTCTCAAAAAACTCCCCAGCCTCTGGCAGCAGGGTGAAGTCCGTCTGCGGCAAGCTGAAACAAGCTGCTGCAGCAATCGCGCAGAACAATGGCACACTTCCTTTGCGGCGTCTCATGGCCATCACTGCGTGGGCAAGGAATGGTTCAACAACGCAATGTTTCCATAAGGGGTAAGCAAGCTGATTGCATGTGCGATAAGAGTGAGCATAATTTTTAAATTACTAAATTGGCAAGGTTGGCAGACCAACTTTTCAAATTCAATTAATGTCCACAATGTAAATAATCTGAAGCATGGACATGGTTTAACTATATAAATTATTTAAGTTTTTCAAGTGGGGGGCCCACTAGGGCTGACTGATTTAAAATTTCTCTAAATAGAAGGCCCCCCTTTTCCAACTTGAATAACTCCAAAACAATATGCCTTTTAAACGTATTGAAACTCAACAAGGCTAGAAAAAAAAAACATGTTTCATGGGGCCAGGGGCAGCTGAGAAACCACAACGTCCAACACAGCTGAAGCCATCGTTTCGACGACAGACTTGCAAACTGCGTCCACCCTCAAAATCAGGGCCGCTCCTGGCCTTTGGTAGAAAGCCTGGGGTACAGCTCTGGTTTGTTCCTTGAAGGTTTAGGGGGTGAGCAGGCCGACACTGTTGAGAAGCCTTGCCTCTTGGTAGGACGCTGACATCTGCTGTTCAAATCCCTCTAAAACTAAACGCTAAACCTAAACCCTGAGAGCCCAAACGCCCAGCGGGCGCCAGTTCTGAGATGGTTGTTTGCACAGCTCTTCAGAGCCAACCCTTTTCTCAAAAACTGTTCCATCATACAGAAACCCAAACTCAACCGCTGCGCGCAAGGAACAAAAATAACTGTCTGGAACAAGTCGGCACATTAACCTACCATGAGGCAACTTCCTCGTGCAAGCTTTTCAGGGCATCTTCTGTTTGGCGATTGTCGCGTGCAAGCTTGAAGCAAACCTGTAAAGATTCTCTGTAGGATGCCATAGGATGGCATGCGCGTTCTCATCACGAATGAGCTTTGCAATTTCGCGTGGCTCATAGGCGGTAGTATTGATGACTGCCTCAATGCCTGCGCCTCCGCTCTGAAGCAGTGCGTTTAAAATCTGCTGACCCACCTGCTTTCCATCAAGTGTAAGACTCATGAAGTTCACCACGTCTTTTTCTGCCATCTTGTGGAAATCGACCTTGATGTCGCTCAGATTGATTCCTCTCCTCAGAGGGGAAAAGACACCGAAAGCGAGTCTCACACAAAGGTCAGAAACGTGACTGCAAAGCAAAACACGGGCAACGTGTTTAGAGAAGGCACTTCAGCATATTGCATGCATCCACCAAATCACCAGCGCGGCGGCCACCTTACTGAAACTCTGTGCTCACGCAACAAAGGGAAGCATTCAAAACAACAGCTTGACAGAAGCCATAAGCTTTGCCTGCCACAGCACAATTGACAATGATGCTGTCCGCGGCCGACTTCGTGCGTGCATCTTGAGCAACTCACTCGCCTCCTTCTTAGGTCATGTCCGCCAATGTCGAATCTGCGACGCCAGCATCAACGCCAGAGCCGAGGCAGCAGATGAGGCGGCCACCAGCACCATGAAATGCATTGAGACAGGGAAAGCGGCGACTCAACAAGGAAGTCAGAGTTGAATCATTGATTTACTCTCAGCCGCGGACATTTGCCGTTGCGGCGTGCGGTGAATCACTCGACATGTCCCTTCGCTAGTTTGGAAACCAACTTCATCCCCTACCTCCTTACCTCAGGGAGTTGCTTTTTTTGCAAAACGTCTGACGCTATTCACAAAGTGCGGCGCAAGGCCCTCCTTTGGGTGTGCGCGAGGAATGTCCAGAAGCAGATGGGATATTGGGTCAAGGTTCTTGCAAACTTCTTCTTTTGCAACTTGGCGCGGACACAACGAAGCACCTCAACAAACATGTTCGCGTCCTTCACTCCAAGCATTTGGTACATGGCAGGCTCCCAGTCTTCCACCTTCACCGTGAAGGCCCACACACCGCAAACACCGCACAAGGCCTCTTCCACGGCCACAGTCTTGCCGGATTTGTAGCGGCCACTCACCATGGTCGCGTCGGACTGCTGCCGCCAGCTGCTCAGCCTATGTTGGATGTCATCTACGACCTTTCGTGGGACGACCTCGTCCGGAGACTTGGCTGGCTCATAGGGTGCCATGAACTTCTTCACGGCCAGACGCTTCATGCGAAAGTCCGAGGAGGCATACGTGAATGCAAGGCCTAGGCCAGACACCACAAAGCCTGCAACAGCCAGGGAAAAGTCTCGTATATCGCGAATGTCAGCTGTCCTGTTGGGCGCAGCATGCATTGCCCTTTGTATCACAGCTCGAAGCTGCGGCCACGCATTCAGTTGGGTCGGTGGCGCGCTGGGCCGTCTTCTGCAACTCCCCGGCTTTGCCTTGCTCGGGGAAAAAAAAATAGCATGAGTATTTTCAAAACAAAAAGGATGCAGTCAAAGCGGCCCAGCTGCGTCCGATGAAATGGCCTCCTCCACCGCGATTCGCTCTGCCACTGAGGGCGGATGCCTTCTGCGGAAAGGGCGAGTACAACCAAGCACACACACAAAGCTCTTAAACTCCCCAGCCTCTGGCAGCAGGGTGAAGTCCGTCTGCGGCAAGCTGAAACAAGCTGCTGCAGCAATCGCGCAGAACAATGGCACACTTCCTTTGCGGCGTCTCATGGCCATCACTGCGTGGGCACGAAAGGTCAACAACGCAATGTTTCCATAAAGGGTAAGCAGCTGAATGCATGTGCAATAAGATTGAGACACCACGTCGTCCAACACAGCTGAAGCCATCGTGCGACACAGACTTTTGCAACTGCGCTCACGAGCCCCAAACGTCCAGCACGCTGAACCGAAGGACCCACCTTCTCCATCGGAGCGGGGTCTAGGGTTTTGTGGCCTTGAAGGTTTAGGCGGTGAGCAAGCCGACACTTTCGAGAAGCCTTGCCTCTTAGTAGGCAGCGCCGACATCGGCTGTTCCCTCTAAAACTGATCCTGAAGCTAAACCCTACATTCTGAGAGCCCAAACACCAGTTCTGAGATGGTTGTTCGCACAGCTCTTCAGAGCCAACCCTTTTCTCGAAAACTGTGCCATCATGCAAAAACGCGAAAACACAGGAACTCGACCGCTGCGCGCAAGGAACCAAAATAATTGTCTGCAACAAGGTTGCACATCAACCTACCATGAGGCAACTTCCTCGTGCAAGCTTTTCAGGGCATCTTCTGTTTGGCAATTGTCGCGTGCAAGCCTGAAGCAAACCTGTAAAGCTTCTCTGTAGGATGCAATATGATGGCATGCGCGTTCTCATCACGAATGAGCTTTGCAATTTCGCGTGGCTCATAGGCGGTAGTATTGATGACTGCCTCAATGCCTGCGCCTCCGCTCTGAAGCAGTGCGTTTAAAATCTGCTGACCCACCTGCTTTCCATCAAGTGTAAGACTCATGAAGTTCACCGCGTCCTTGCTTGCCATCTTGTGGAAATCGACCTTGATGTCGCTCAGATTGATTCCTCTCCTCAGAGGGGAGGCCCACACACCGCGCAAGGCCTCTTCCACGGCCACAGTCTAGCGGCCACTCACGATGGTCGCGTCGGACTGCTGCCGCCAGCTGCTCAGCCTATGTTGGATGTCATCTACGACCTTTCGTGGGACGACCTCGTCCGGAGACTTGGCTGGCTCATAGGGTGCCATGAACTTCTTCAGCCAGACGCTTCATGCGAAAGCCCTGAGGAGGCATACAGGAATGCAAGGCCTAGGCCAGACACCACAAAGCCTAGGCCAGACACCACAAAGCCTGCAACAGCCAGGGAAAAGTCTCGTATATCGCGAATGTCAGCTGTCCTGTTGGGCGCAGCATGCATTGCCCTTTGTATCACAGCTCGAAGCTGCGGCCACGCATTCAGTTGGGTGGGTGGCGCGCTGGGCCGTCTTCTGCAACTCACCGGCTTTGCCTTGCTCGACGCAAAAGCACTTTAGCATGAGTAATTTCAAAGATCTACGATGCAGTCAAAGCGGCCCAGCTGCGTCCGATGAAATGGCCTCCTCCAGCGCGATTCGCTCTGCCACTGAGGGCGGATGCCTTCTGCGGAAAGGGCTCTGGCAGCAGGGTGAAGTCCGTCTGCGGCAAGCTGAAACAAGCTGCTGCAGCAATCGCGCAGAACAATGGCACACTTCCTTTGCGGCGTCTCATGGCCATCACTGCGTTGGCACGAAAGGTCAACAAGGCAATGTTTCCATAAAGGGTAAGCAGCTGAATGCATGTGCGATAAGATTGAGACACCACGTCGCCCAACACAGCTGAAGCCATCGTGCGACACAGACTTTTGCAGCTGCGCTCGCGAGCCCCAAACGTCCTGCACGCTGAACCGAAGGACCCACCTTCTCCATCGGAGTGGGGTCTAGGGTTTTGTGGCCTTGAAGGTTTAGGCGGTGAGCAAGCCGACACTTTCGAGAAGCCTTGCCTCTTAGTAGGCAGCGCCGACATCGGCTGTTCAAATCCCTCTAAAACTGATCCTGAAGCTAAACCCTACATTCTGAGCAAACACCAGTTCTGAGAGGGTTGTTCGCACAGCTCTTCAGAGCCAACCCTTCTCTCGAAAACTGCGCCATCATGCAAAAACGCGAAAACACAGGAACTCAACCGCTGCGCGCAAGGAACCAAAATAACTGTCTGCAACAAGTCGGCACATCAACCTACCATGAGGCAACTTCCTCGTGCAAGCTTTTCAGGGCATCTTCTGTTTGGCGATTGTCGCGTGCAAGCTTGAAGCAAACCTGTAAAGCTTCTCTGTAGGATGCCATATGATGGCATGCGCGTTCTTATCACGAATGAGCTTTGCAATTTCGCGTGGCTCATAGGCGGTAGTATTGATGACTGCCTCAATGCCTGCGCCTCCGCTCTGAAGCAGTGCGTTTAAAATCTGCTGACCCACCTGCTTTCCATCAAGTGTAAGACTCATGAAGTTCACCACGTCTTTTTCTGCCATCTTGTGGAAATCGACCTTGATGTCGCTCAGATTGATTCCTCTCCTCAGAGGGGAAAAGACACCGAAAGCGAGTCTCGCACAAAGGTCAGAAACGTGACTGCAAAGCAAAACACGGGCAAAGTGTTTAGAGAAGGCGCTTCAGCATATTGCATGCATCCACCAAATCACCAGCGCGGCGGCCACCTTACTGAAACTCTGTGCTCACGCAACAAAGGGAAGCATTCAAAACAACAGCTTGACAGAAGCCTGAAGCATTGCCTGCCACAGCACAATTGTCAATGATTGCTGCCGCGGCCGACTCATGCTCGTGCATCTTGAGCAACTCACTCGCCTCCTTCTCGGTCATGTCGCCCACCCAGATGTCGAATCTGCGACCGCCAGCATCAAACGCCAGAGCCGAGGCAGCAGATGAGGCGGCCACCAGCACCTGAAATGCATTGAGACTG